TACTTTTTTTCTTTCACGTTCCCCAATGGAACATGGGGCTTCAAGCTAGAGGCTTGAATTTTATGCCCATTTTTATGCCCAAGAAGCCGACAACACTCGGTATTCCCAGCCGATCACTTACGCAAGTACTAACCGAGCCCAACGTTGCTTAACTTTGTACTCGCTTCAGTGGTACACATACTAAAATTGGAACGATACAGAGAAGATTAGCACGAGCCCTGCGCGAGGATGACACGCAAAATAGTGAAGCGTTCCATATTTTTTTCAGTCCCAGTGGCTGAATGGTATACGAGCTTGCCTTGTAACCGGAAGGTCACGGGTTCGAACCTTGGCAGTGGGTGCTACTGCCGGTGATTTCTAAACTAGGATGAAACAGCAGCTATCCAGTACTCCCTGGTTCCCGCTTCTCGTCCCATCATCGAAGTTAAGCAACGCTGGGTCCGGTTAGTACTTGCATGGGTGACTGGCTGTGAATACCGGATGTTGCCGGACTTGTCGGCGACCATACCACGTTGAAAGCACTAAATAAACGGTACTTTTTATTCTGGTGAATGTTAATTTTACATTTATATTTCTATTGAGATTGCGAAGAATGTATATGCCTCATCAGCTAATTTTTTCGCTTATTATGCTATGCAAAAGCAGATATCCTATGTGTGGCGAATTCCTCACTTTCTCAGAAGTACTGTTTAGAATTTAGCTATTTATTACTGTTATAAGAATGGACAAATAAAATACTTATATATATTCAATTGCTGATTTGCAGGGATTCTATCTGATTTGACTTAATTGGTCTCAGGATTTCATCATGTACTGATATCGGTTAGAGAGCCATTGAAAAACCTCGGAGTACTTCGCAGACAGCTGTTTCATCAACCTAGTTTGAGACTTTACTTCAATAGTACGCAGCCACCCCACAGACAGGGTTCGAACTCACAACCTTCCGGTTACAAGGCGAGCTAGGTCGTAGACAATTCATCAGCTACTGTGTCCTAATCCAATGGCTAGCACATGAGTTCTGCTTCCTATCAGTTCACCAGATATCGTGACTGCAACTAGCCAATGTCATCGGTGGCGAATATTTCTCTCCACACCCGACCTGCTGTAGTCTACTGGTCACAGCTTTTCAGAAGCTGGAATTCATGGATTGGCCACTTGATGGGTCTTAGTGGTTGATGAATGGTTGACAAGCTCACTGGTCTTGTTATCTTAAGCTTGTTTGGTCCAACCATTTATGTGGGGTGAGTGTGTAGTGTTGAAGGACTAGGACGAAACAGCCAGCTGTCCAGTTCTTTTGGCTGGTCTTCCAAATGTCCTCTAACGGATGCCACCTCATGACAAAATTCCTTCCCATAATATCTTCATTCTACGCTACAGTTGTATATATATGTATATATAATCATATGAAGTGTAATTAAAACTAAAATGTTTGTGATTATAATCGTAGTTAAATGTCAAGTGGCAAGGCAGATTAATGTCATATATAGAATAATTCATAGGAGGGATAGAACTTGAAAAAGGATGTGCAATTATAGGATTAGTAGACAAATAGAATAAAACAAAAACGTTACGTAATATTATGTGAAATTTAATAGTATAGAATTTATCGTTGTAAAAAAAGAATTGATTTAGAGTGACAAGTGGAACAAGTTAAATAAAACCGGGGACAGTTCAAAGTGAGAATAGTAATAATAACAATTGACATAATAAGGAAGAGTATACAAATTGAATAGACAAAATGAAAAATGAAAAATTGGTAGAGCTAAAATAGGATTGGGGATTATCATATTTTAGCATAGAGGGATTAAGACCATGCAAGTTGGAGGGGTTGAACGAACTTTTTCTGTACACAGAGATCTGGCTTTTTCTGTTCAACCCCTCCAACTTTCATGTACCATATTTTATTTCGTTGCCTTCTCGTCAGCTGCTTACAGGGCAAAGGGATTAATAAATATATCTACAAAAACAATTTTAACATACTTGCACAGAGTTCATTTTTAAACAAAAATCAATCGATAAACATACGCAAACACTATATATATATATATATATATGCAATATTAAACACTATTCCAAACAATATTAATCATACACAATGGAAACTTTTGCATTCTGAAGAAAAAGAGATGAAAAATATTCAGTTACCAGGGCAAAGAAAGACTGATAACTGGAGATGCCTGGCGATAGCACTGTTTAAAGCATTTATTCCCTTTAGACGTAAGCTTTTTGGTACATGTTCAGAAAATCGTAGAAATTTTGTTTGATTGCGTGGAGGATTTCATCATGAGCTGACATTGGTTAGAGAAACATTGGAAAACCTGAAACACATTATATGTCTATCCAGTATTGTGGATAGACATAATGTTATGTTAGAAACTAGCGAATACAATATTGTCAGACCACGAGCATCCTGTCTATACGCAGCTCTCCCCTTGCATTTCATCTGGTAGAACTAGAAGCAGCTATAGGAGGCTATATGCTAGGACTGCCAAGTACAAAACTCCACAATACCATATCTGGCACAGCTGTTATGTGATGAGAAATCCGTTAGGTATGACACGATCAACTTACTGCAGCACTCTAACATTGTGCATTGTTTAAAATGTAAACGCAACGCTGTTCTCTTTTACTTCTTTTTATTTATCTTTTTCTGGTTGTTACTTTTTGATTTTAAAATCTTATAAAATTTATGAGGTAATTAGGTGCAATATTGTAATGCACGCTGAAAATTCGATACCTGTACCACAAATACTGTTTGGAATAAAGCCGCTATTATTATTATTATTATATAGCTAGCGAGTGCTATGTGCCAAGAAACGGGCATCCGACATGTCATCACGAGCCGCCACCAGCTAAATAACATCGAATTTTTATACTATTGTGCAGCAATCTCCCACCTCATCTTAAAAAGTTACATATTTATATTAATGCACATACACTGTCTGTTCACTAGGAAATATTCTTTGAAAACGGTTTTGTTTAAAAAATTTACTATTTTTCGCTTCCTGAAATGAATTCCCTTATCACTGATCTTCATTTAGGGTGATCAAAGGTTATAGTTGTTTAGTTTGCTTTTTAACATGATGCAACTTCTGTTTTATAGCTGTTATTTTCAAGAGATGATTTGTAGGGATTTGATTTGTTTTACGAGTTTGAACATGGATTGGTATCACTTAAAGAAACGTTGAAAACCAGGGTGTACTGAACAGCCAGTTATTTCATCAGCCTATATATTGGGATTCTGCTTCAGCAGTACGCACCCACCAGAAGGGTTCGACTAAAATTTAGGCTATCTAGGTTCGAGTGATCCTCAAATTTTTGTAGAAATTTCCTTAATTTTAGTTGATATTCTATTTGCTATTACATTTTCATTATTATTATTATAATTTATGCATCTTCAACGAACTGTAATTCCATTGATGCTAATATACAATTCGATATTACTTAAAAAAACCCTCATATTGTTACTGACTACTGTTCTAGAATATTCTGTGTATATAAACACATAGATAGAATTGTAGAGCCAGAAGAGGAAATTATCGAAAAGGATATTCTTTGCTCAATGCACCGATAAATCATCTAACAGTTTTGAAAGGTAATGTCAGTACATCAAATTATGACATTTTAATGCATAATGAATGAATGATTGGATGAATCATCCAACTACCTCCTATGATTAGTATTAATACTGTTATTATTATAGTAAATATTCTGCTAAGTTAGATTTCGATCAATACATTCTGCAAAAACTATTCCATTCAATGTCATCAAATCACAGATTTTGCATACATTTAGCTTGTTTTACGACAAGTTAATACGATTCGCCATTTTGCAAATAACGCAGTATAAAATGAAAATTCCAAATGAAAGCATAGTGATATCTCCCTCCACCCTTTCGTCCGAACCATGTAATTTGGACATTGTCAGTTGAATTCAGTGGTATTACCGATTCATCCATGTAACTAGTCGGTTCCCTGAGCTAAGTCTAACTAAGTCTAACACCACTTATGTGTGAGTTCAGCTTCAAACAAATGAAACCATTGTAGTGTTCGGATCACAATGATATGCCTAACAAGCACTACCAGTTGACGTAAGTGACTTTCAACTATTCATAACAACCAGTCACTAGTGTGTACCATCATTCAGAAAGATGTTTAGATATGATAGAGAAGATTTGTACCTCAAGTGGATGATTTTGATGTGATTTTGTTGCAATAAATCGTTCTGGGTAACAATTCTCGACGAGGATTCTCTTGAGATTGTCCGGTTCATCTTCTACGGTGTCCGGGGTACAAATTCTGCGAACTCTGTAGCTGAGTGATGAACGGATCAGGTTTCGTTTGGTGTATAGGGGTACCCAACTGTTAAAGTTAATAAGCTGCCCGTTCCATGTAGACTTTCTGTAGATAGATCTTTTCAGTGTTCCATCCTCTTCCCGTCTTGTTAGTTGGACGTCAAGAAAGGATATTTTGGGGTTGAACTCTTTCTCCAGGGTGAACTGAATCGCGGGATGGCACTTGTTAAACTACTTCAGGATGTCGTCTAGATTATCTTCATTGTCGTCGACGTATAGCTTGTAGATTCCGAAGGTACCCACCATTTTCTTCAGGCATGCGTTTTCAAGTTTTGCCATGAAGAAATCTGCAAGCAATGGGCCTAGTGGTGGGCCCATAGCTATACCATCCTTTTGGCAATATATTTCGTTGTTGAATGAGAATTGAACATTCAAGGTACACCTCAACAGGAGTTCTTTAAGACGATATTTATTCCTTTGAAATGAATAAGTTCGCCTTTATAGCATATTGTTCTTGTGTTATTCTTTAAATAATTTGCTTTATAATTATATGTGATGATACAGCTTAAGGAAGATATCTCCAAAAAGAGTGATTCTTCATCAAATGCATTTGTCTATGAATAATAACTTATACTATAATTTATGAAAGAGGGGCTGGAATTCATGCTTTACATATTTCTTGTTTCACTTTCCTCTTATGTTACAGGGAATCGTCTATTTCAACAGCACCAATCAATATAAGATCAGCTCTTCCACGTGGTTATTATCCTTCGAGTACATCCTCACTACCACGCAATACTAAATCAAGTTATCATGATCAAAATACAAGAACTAGGCGATCCAGTATTAATCCTGTAGATGTTCCACAACTTTTTGATTCAATGAATGAAATACAACATTTAAGATCACAGTTGAATACGCTATCAAAACTTGTAAGTATATATTACATTCGCAGTTATTGGTGAAACATTTCTGATGGACTAATTTTAGTCTAAATGTAGTTTGATGGTTAGAGAACCATTGGAAAACCTGAGAGACAACTGAAAAGCTGTTTCATCCTAGTTCAAGACTCTTCATCACTGTGCACCCATGGTACTAAAATCGGGTTAAACAGCTGTCCAGCACTCGCAGGTCTTCCGGAAGTCCTTTAACCGATGTCAGCTGATGGTTAGTCCTGTAATCCCTGAAATCCCTGCAAACCAATACTTGATAATTTGATGGTGTGTGAATATGAAGTAAAGTTTTCAGACTCCAGTTGTATGTGAACCAACAATTTCTATGAAAGCGGTAATACGGTAATGGTAGAAGAAAAGCCACTAAGTAAAGGAATGTTTATTAGGAATTCGGTGTCTCCTTATACAGAAATTATGTACACCTTGTATACAATTGGTGGATGGTGGCTAGCAGTGGAATCCAGGATGCACATTTCGTCCTATTTGGGACTCGTCATCTGGATGTATCTGCATTTCTCGGTGAACGATGATGTTCCCACCGAGGCTCGAACCCAGCGCCCATAGTTTCAAACGCCAAAGCGTTATCCACTAGACCACTTGGGCCACGAGAGCCACCTCTTGTGCAACGGGTCATATTAATTGTTGAAGTGAAATTTTTTGCTTTTCCCGTCGATTGATTGGACCGAAGTGCTCGGTCTTGTCTTCAAATTATCATTTGCGCAGGTTTTCCGTATTGTGCTACTTCTGGCCTTTATATTGTGTGTTCCTTGGTGTCCCTTTCACGTCTCCCATGTATCTACACGACGCTGAAACATTTTCTTTCTCTGACATCAATGCCATCTCCCTGCTATTTGATAACTTTATGCCGATTGAAGTGCCTTATCAGTAACACAAGACAATACCACTATACCTCCTTTTCGACTTCACTAATAAACCGCTTTATGTGATACTGCTGAAAATATATACATCACATAGAATAATGAAAATCTTTTAACATTCCTACACAAAAATTTCTGTTCTTAGTTATGTAGATTTATTTAGTATCCATTAAGCACTTAACAGAACCATACCCTTAAGGGGATAATTGGATTAGATGAAACACTTACAAGCGGACAATATTATTTTCACTCAGGCTTTTCTACAATATAATTGGTGGATGGTGATTAGCAGTGGAATCTAGGATAAAGCGCAATTCGTCCTATTTGGGACTCGTCAACTGCATGTGTACCTGCATTCCACAGTGAGTGATGCTGTCCCCAATGAGGCTCTAACCCAACGCTGCGATTGTAACTGTGGACACTGGATTAATAGGAATCAAACGAGATAAAATCTAACCTCTTACAGATTCTGTTTGATCTTAAAATTGATGAAGTTGTGTTCTTCACGAAAAATGACTAATAAACTCATGGAGTAATCTAAAAGCTCAGTTCAAATTGAGGTATGCGCTAAATATGTTGCCTAGTAGTGCAATGAAAGCTTCGCGAATAAACCGTACCATCAGCCCCAACGGGTTGATCTCTGACGAAATCTCAGCACGGTGACAGAAGGCTACTTACGCATTTGCCACTTTACGCCGACTCTGGCGTAGACGAGATATCCGACTATCGACCAAAATGCGAGTGTACTGCTCATCATTCCGCTCCGTCCTCCTTTGTGGCTGTGAGTCCTGGCCATTCAGAGTGGAAGACTTGAAAAGATTAGCTGTCTTTCATCAGAGATGCCTGCGTTCGATAACCCGTGTGAAGTGGTATACTAAGCTGAGCAATACTGAGGTTCGGCGTCAAGTTCTAGGTAAGGAGGGGAAATCAATCGACGAGGCTGTGAAGTTACGTAGACTGAGATGGCTAGGACATGTGATACGCATGTATGCCAAGTCATAGCCTTCCTCGACGTGCAATGTTAGCTGATATAGAGTCAGGCTGGAAAAAAGCTGGAGGTAGTCAAAGCAAAACATGGCGTCAGTTAATGAAATCTACAACAGTTAGTCTAAGCCACGTAGGAAGGTGTAGGCTTCCTGACTGATTGGGGTTCTCAGAACAGTAAAAACCAATGATGGCTGGAGACAATCGGTGATATGATTCAAAATCGTTCTCAATAACTGGCTAGCGCAGATGCATCCACTCCTTGTGACTTATGATTTCCAATGAAACTATATTGTTCTACGTTATTACTATTCCTATATCTCACACCTCTGTTTACTGTCTGTATTATGCATTTCTTTTTTCTCTTGCTTTGTGTGCTACATGGAGTGGAGTGTGGCGACTTGAACTGCCTCACATATGTGCAAAGCCCTATGTCGAAAACAGACAGACATGACTAAATGACTCAGAATAAGCTGTAAAAATCTGAATTCTGAACGTGATATGATTTCATCCATGTGTTCCTAAAGTTATCTACTTACTTGTCTTGTTGTTTGAGTCGGCGAAAACAGGCAATGCACGCCAGTAGAAATCTTGTAAGTCTTACTTCCTGAGAAACACTCATCATAGTCCTTCATACAATCATACTATGGTGAGAGCTGTCTGCGAACAAGCCAAATTTATAGACAACAATTTAGGTCAATGTTTACATTCATGGATAATCCCCATCCAGCCATTAATGAAAACAAAACACATAGATCAGAGAAGAGTCTCTTTTCGCCAGTGAACTCATTTTCTTAGCTGTACAATCGCAAATATACATATGTGTTATTTTATATGAATGAGTACATTAAGTTTGTCAAACAAAATTACAATTGATTATGGTTATTTTAACTAAACAGGTGAAGGTTGGTAATTCGAGTCAAGAAAATTCAGTGTTAATGAAATTACGGTAGTAACAAAGGTGATGATTTGTCACAAACAATTGTTAAAAGAAGTTATGTAGTAGTATGGATAGTTTGATGAGTGAGTTTTACTCAGGATGCACAAAGAAACAAAGTAGATAATATGAAACTGCGTAAGAGTTCTAAATGAATAGAAGAATTTTAAGCAATTAAAGAACAGGCTTACAAACAAAATCACCAAAAAAAGTCATCAAAAATCCTTTTCAACCAATTCTTCCTTTAGAGTAATCTTTAATTGCTTAAAATTCTTCTGGCTCCTTTAATCTGGCTTAGCGAGGTAAAGGAGTGCGCCGGCCGAGGATCGAACCCCGGACCATGTGCATGGTCAGCGAGCGTAACAACCACTATGCCACCGACGCACATTTCAACAAACGCCTCCTTCAAAATAACTTACAGAGTCAAGAATAACCTATCACAGGCATTACGGTTTCGTCTTCTTTGTATCACTGAAGCTCTGGCCATTCACATAGAAAAACCGGAGCTGTGCATACAAAAGAGAATTACTGAACCACTTCTACTGTCATGGTGACAACGTTTTTTTATTTTGATGACTTAATTTTGTTTCTTTACCTGTTCTTTAATTGCTTAGAATTCTTCTATTCATTTAGAACTCTTACGCAGTTTCATATTATCTACTTTGTTTCTTTGTGCATCCTGAGTAAAACTCACTCATCAAACTATCCATACTATTACATAACTTCTTTTAACAATTGTTTGTGACAAATCATCACCTTTGTTACTACCGTAATTTCATTAACACTGAATTTTCTTGACTCGAATTACCAACCTTCACCTGTTTAGTTAAAATAACCATAATCAATTGTAATTTTGTTTGACAAACTTAATGTACTCATTCATATAAAATAACACATATGTATATTTGCGATTGTACAGCTAAGAAAATGAGTTCACTGGCGAAAAGAGACTCTTCTCTGATCTATGTGTTTTGTTTTAATCAATGTTTACATCCCGAACCTTGAGAAACTCGCTAACCAATCACAGCAGACTTAACGTGTGCAAATACGATTCTCAGATATGTGGCTTAACTCTCTAAGAAACGATCACAAAGAGGAGATGACAAGATAATCTTCAGCAAGAAAACAACCAATCCGCTAATAATAATGCACATTAGAAAAAATCTATAAATACCTCTTGATTTTCTCAATAAACGATCTGTTGTCTGGCCCTTGTCTTTAGTCGTTACAGTATTTACTGGGTTCTTTTTCAATATTCTGAATCCGTTTAGTAGATATCAGCAAATGCTCTTATGTTTATATCACTAGATTATACGCATTATTCTTCTCTTATCTTTCTTCCGTTGAACAGATCGAATCAGATGGTTCTAATGTGAATCGAACGCCTTCAGCAGTCCGCACAACAGCATCAAAGAGTACAGTAAGTTTCTCTTTTGAATATTTGAATTCGTCAGAAGAAATTTTGTTGTTTATAAATATTTTTGAATACCATTTCCCAATATCTGATGACTATTGTATGCATCAACTCATTGATGATCCCTCATAGAGTTGGATATTTTTTCACCGTTGGAGCTACTGTCACTGGACACGGTTGCTAGCCTCATATCTAACCTTCCCTAATCAGCAACCACCAGGCTAAATGAAGTTTAACATTGTTCCAGGAAGTACAAATATACATTATTATTATATCCTTTAATTCCTCGAGGAACTTAGAGCTTCATCTGCGCGTCTCCATTGCCTTTAGTTTTACTGCCAACTTTTCCACCCCGCTCCAAGTCTGCCCACATGCATTCATCTCCTCTTCACATGACCTCCTCCAAGTCACCCTCGCACTGACCACTAACTCGCCGCTTCCCATTCGCTCGGGTTCCACTCGAGGGCTTGTCTAGTGATGTCACTTGATGGTTTCCTCAGCGTATGGCCAATCCATCTCCATTTCTTCCTGCCTATTTGTTTCACGACCGGTTCCTAGTTGGTTCACTCCCAGAGATCCCTCCCCGCTGCTGATCATTTCTGACCGGCCATCTGATCTCGAGTATTGAGCGAAGAAAACTGTTAATGAAGGTCTGAAGGTTGTTTGAGATGCTCTTTATGACGCACTGGCCAAGTCTCTTATCAGTACAGTAGCACTGACTTCATATTGGAGTTGAAAATCCGGATGTTATTTTTGATGGTGAGTGCTGTTAACCTCCACACAGACTTAAGAGTATTACAAATATACATAAAGGTAAACAAAATAATCGATTTAATCATACTTTATGATGACATGGTTTATGAATGTCTCTAGATGCTGCTGCACATGTTGATTAGAGTGACATATATTATTAAGTCATATTTCAAACATTTCGGGTAGGCTCATTCTACAACTGAACTCGATATTTACAAATTACGTCGACGTTCGACGTCAAGATTTATAACGACTTCCTTGATAGCAGCATAAACAGGAGTCAAGAAAACAAGCGGAGCAGAGCGGTGGTATTCGGCACTGATTGATTTATAGTAGTAGTGGTCATAAATCAATTACATCAAACAACGGTGCTTATTAGCCAGATCAAATTGATCTAGATAATGGACTGACATTTTCAGGATTTCATCATGAACTAACATTGGCTAGATAACCATTGAAAAACCATCTGAGAATACTGAACAGCCAGCTGTTTCTTCCTAGTCTCTTGGAACTCTGCGTCAGCAGTACACGCCCACTCCACATTTAGGGTTCGAACCCACGAAGTCCAAGTAACAAGATAAATATGCTAGTAGACCATTCGTTAGCCAATGGGACCCGATCCATCGGCCAGCTTATTAATTCCAACTTCTGTCAATTCACGATGTAGGGCTACCACTAGAGATGCGTACTGATGTACTAGCTTTCTCGCCTTGTAAACGGAAGATCTTGCTGAAGCAGAGCCTCAAGAGACTAGAGCGAAACAACTGTCTGTTCAGTACTCCCCGTTGATTTTTCAAAGGTTGTCTAGCCGATGTCAGTACATGACGAAGTCTTGTAACCAATCAAATCAATGCCCTAAAAACCAACACTTGAGAACTGACATTTTGTTGATTTGGTTATGTGCTCACTAACAGCCTACCCTGGTTATAAAGTAACGAATCTCATTCTGTGTATTACCAGTTCATGCAAGCAGCTATCCAAAATTCGGGTGCTCTTAGCAGCTTCGGCTTCCCAAGCTGACCGAGTCCAACTGGTTAAGTCCGAACAAGCCAAACATCCATCCAGTGTTTAGATAACTTTGATTTAGCTGGGTGATTCCCAACTGCTCATATCGATATTATTAATGTTTTATTCCTCGACTTTCGGAGTAGAACATAGAAATTTAGGCTAGGACTTTGAAGTTTCGGTAAGAGTGGTTTTACTTTTACGGGGTGGGGTTGCTAGCCTCGCGCCCAACCTTCCCTCTTTAACAGCCTTATTACCGGCTTAGCCTAGGTTTAGGAATGCATCTGTAGGGGATCGAATTCCGAACCATTTGCATGGTTGATGATGTGAAATCAATTCTAAAGCATTTTTCATAAGTTATTCCTTATATATGTAAACCAAATGTGCTACGCAGTCGTTATCTCGCCTTCCTCAGAAAATGCCGATTTCTTTCCCGTATCTCTACATTTCTTCTATTTCGTCATTTATTTCAAAAAGCGTGATGTGCAAATTTTAATATATCCTTGTGAGACTTCATTTCATTTACACTTATCAGCCAGTTAGATAGACACCAACCATCCAACTGCTTGCATCAGCAAGAATTCTGATGTTTCTGTAAAGCTTCAACTAATTGGTGAATAGTTTTCATTCCTAATTTCAAAATTTATGATAAGAAATACTTAATTAGCAGATTAATTAACTGCATTTTTAAACAAAAAAAAATTATTTTTTGATCTTATGTAGTGGATTGATTATTGAACAAAGAATATTCTTTTCAATAACCTCCCTCTTCATCAGGCTGCACAGTTTTAAGCATCCATAATAATGAAATAATGATTGGTGTTTTCAAGTATTGGTTTCGTAGAGATTTTGTTTGATTGTATGAAGGATTTTATCATGAGCTGACATCATTTAGAGAACCACTGGAAAACCCGGGAGTACTGGACAGCTGTTTCATCCTAGTCTGGGACTCTTCAGCAGTACGCACCCACCGGGATTCGAACCCAGGTCCTTCTGGTTACAAGGCGAGCTCGTAGACCATTGAGCCACTGGGACCCGATCCAATGGTTCTTGAATTCTTGATTGGTGTTGACAACATTAGTGGTTTTCACAAAGAGTAACATCGTATCATTTAGATCAGAATTCAAAAAGCTATTTTAATTGTAATTGTTAGTAGATTATAGTCCAATATATATATATATATATATATATATATATATATATATATATGGTAACATGTATAATTGTATGTATAATTCTAAAGTGAACACTAATATTACAGAGTAAATGATTATGAATGGCAACAAAGGTATGGTAAGAACTTCTCATGTTCCTATCCAGTATAAACGATCCCTAATGAAATGTTTGTTCTCATGGGCCCGAAAAATATTCACGAGTGACACATTGATGGATGAGTTTCCATATGTACATTAGTTTGATTAGCTAATGGTCATCCGGTAAACTTTATCACTTGTCACAGTAAAGAAAGACAACATCTCGAAAAGACAGCTTCCGTACCAAAGAAAGCTATCTTTATTAACCTACCATTCAAGGGTGACCAGATTAGGCACTTGACAGCTAGCTCAAAGACTTCGGTTAGCCATCAAACGCACATTCTACGCCACCACATCTCTTTTTCTCACTTGCCGAACATTTTCGATCCCTGTACCTACGATTAATGGACGAAATTCTGTGGATTCTACTTCAAACTGTATCTGCAAGTTCACCTGCAGCTGCGGCGACACTCACATATATAGGTAGAACCAACAGAATATTCCAGTGCTGTCTTCGAAAAGAACATGTTCCAAAATGGCTACTAAATCATATAGAAGATCCCAACGCGATTAATCTTAATAGAAATCCAGCATCATCCATTGCAAAACACTTATTAATGTCTGGTCACAAAATCAATATTAATAAATGACTGTTTCATAATTATTTCACATCACTCTAATTCAAGGTTCATTATTGAAGGTGATGGAAGCACTTTGGGGGATTAATCACATACATCCTAAACTGTGTGCACAAAAACAATAGAATTCGGTCTTCGCCGTGGACTACATGACCTATTTAAATATGATTGGTCATTATTATGTACTTTTTTTTATTTAACTGAGTAATTGTCATGATCTTTATTTTATTATTGTGAACTATGTTAGTTGTAAAGCGGTTGTAAAGAAACGCCGAAATGACGATATCATCTAGCGGCGAATTTAGCCTTCTTAATGCCTTATTCAAATTTATCAAAGGGACTAATTGTTTCAACTTCTCAGGAGTCATGTTCATATCAGATTCTATTCATATTGATTATAAACTTCAGATGGAAAATGATCATGTCATGGTCAGGGTTAGAGAAATAATATTTTTGGAGGTAGCATTTTATGTGCACTGTGTGTGTTAGTGTGTAAGTTTAATTGACTACGTTAAAGTAAGAAAACAAAGGTCACTAACTGCAGGTTTAATGACAGAGGGTAGGGGATTTTGCATGTACAGGATGGAGGGTCATATCAAAAAAGGCCGATGTAATAAGTAAGGTATTTGTGAATTTGCAGACTCCACTCCACGGGCAGGGTGGTAATAGTCGTTGTACCTGTTTTTTCTGTACACATAACACCAGTTGATTTAAGTGGATCGTGATAGCCAGTGGTGTTTGGAGTATTCGGTACCTTAGTGCTTTTTGTAATTTATTTAGTAGTTTCTTTTCCATCTTCGGGCATTTTAATTTGAGTGTAGATATGTTGTCTGTCTATTTTATACACCATCGGTTTGTTTGAGTAAACTCGCCTGACTTTCCGCTTCTTCTAGGTGTTACTATCGCCTATTATATTATGTTGAGATTTAACACTCAGTCATTTAGGAAGTAAACACGAACCACTAAGCTATCATGTCACCTCCATCTTCTGTAAATATGTAATTTTTGTCAGTTTGTATTGATTATGTACCTTCTACAATTTATAACCCCAACGATTTGAAATGAGGAACAGAGGAAATGAATGAACGTAACCAAGTTAATGTGAGCCATTATATGACTTAATATGTTATATCTGTATATATATATCTGTATATCTGTATGTCCTTGAGTCATACACGGTCAAAGATGATTTTCGACTTAACTTGATGAAATTTCCGGTACAATTATAAACAAGAATTTACTTGTTGGGCCAGTACGAGAATACGTACTACTCTACAGCAAAGAAAGTAGTTAACTAGACTCAACTGTGAAACACCTGAGAATATTTTCAGCAAAATGGAATCGAACAAAGCAATAG